GTTATTGAAAAGTTAGCAAACCTGTGATTCGCTGAACTCAACTTCTGGACGAGACAGGAGTCCGGAAATATCATGTTCCATGTACTCGAACACAAGATACATGCTACAAGACAATCTGGAGGTAATGAGACCCTCTAATTTAATGATATTGGGGTGGTCAAGCCTGCGGAGAATCATAATTTCTCGTGCCATAAATCTAACACTTTCCGGCTCGAAGTTATCAAATCGCACCTTCTTCAGGGCAACTGTCCTTCCACTTTCTAAATCACGTGCTCTGAATACACTGCTGTATGTACCCTGACCTATCTGTTAGAGCAGTGAAATGGCATAGGAAAAACCTTCATCAGCTAGAAAACCTAACGTTGCATAACAATATTATAAATTGTTAAAAAGTTTACCAAGTAGGAAGAAGCATATTGACACTAGTCAGCTGATGAGCATCAAATAAAAATGCAGTTTTAGTTTTCTTCAAGAGTTTTAAGGTTCTGCCATCATAATTTTTTTTTTATGTGAATAACATTTATAGTAAGTCTCACATTTCAGCACAGCAGCCTCCTTCTCTTGATCCCAAAACTTCACCAAATAGGTATATCAGTAAAATCATTCTCAATTTATTCAGAATTGGTAAAATTTTCACTTATCAGCTCTATGGAACAGTGATCCAAGTTAAATATATGCGGTAAAGGATGTTGCGGTCAAAATTTAGCAGAACTAGACAAAAGATATATAACTTTAAACAGAAGAAATATCAATGTAACAGTATTCATGGAATTTTTAAGAGAACAAATGACTTAAGAGACCTAGTTGCCTGTTGTGGAAACTTGTAAGATTATATCAAATAAGCCAAACGTTGCTGTAATCCAAACATTAGTCTAGCTCAAGTGATTTGCAAGGGAAAGAAGCAAGTTAACTACTCAACCTTTATAATTTTCTGGCCTTAAATTGAATTGAAAGAACCATTAAAAAGGCTAGAGCAGTAAACACTACTACCTCCCAATTCCTTTTCCATTTTGAGATAATGCTTTCAACTAACAAGCAAAAGGACCCCAACGAAGTATAGAACTTTCATCTGTTCTTCCTAATTCTAGTATCCGCCGCCCCATAGAGCCCTATTCTCAGAAACAAGAAAAAAGAAGATAGAAGAGTAGTAACAATGGAGATAGAAGTAATTCAATAAATTAACTAAAATCAGTAGGAATATATATTAAACAGACTTTGTATTCATTTATTTTTCATGAAACTTAGTCACTTCCTAAATCTAATATTGCCAAAAAAGGCAACTAACATGTGAGATTCTCAGAATATCACAATTCACAGTAGAAGCTATACGTTACCTGATATATCACAATCAAATGACAAAATACTTATCAAACCTCCCTAAAGCCGCAGTAGTATCACGACAAAATTGAGTAAAGACAACTGGAGTAAGTAATAAGGACAACTTCAGCAGTAAAAAACAAACCTTTTCCAATTTCTCAAAAGACTCAGCTCTGAGAGGAACCCATCCTTGAATAGCTTCCCCTGCAACAGCACTGAGCCAAGCAGGCCAACCAGCAGCCACTTGTTCTCCTTCCACATATTTCTGCAAATTCCCAAGCCTAAAACTCACTGACTCACTACCACAACCATTCGAACTCGCTCTCCCTGACTCACCCAACTCGCTCCCTCCACTCAGTCCTGAGTCAGCCCTCTTCTTCACCTTCTTCAAATCAAAGTCCAGTCCAAAAGCACCGCTCCCGACCCGGCCACGACCCGACCCGACATCTTCACTGTCTCTGAGAACCCCTGAATGATCAAATGCAGGAGTTACCGACACTGTTTGCTTGGACGCCACACAACCCATGGTGGACACGTGTCAGTTACCCAGAAACACCATGAGAGCAGCTTTCACTGCAAACCAAGACCAACCCAGATGAAATTTGGCTAAATCTTGACGTGGGTCAAGTTTAGTTCTGAAGTAGCAACGCAAATTCTGAATTATATTTATATGATCAAGAAAAGAAACTCTCTGCTCAAAGTCACTTCCTTTTCTCTCTTAACTTTTTATTGCGGCAATTACGGAAGGTAGACAAGAGGGAAAAATGAGGTTTTTAATGGGGTTAGCAGTCACAGCAGCAGCAGCAGCAACGGAATCAGCGTAATCAACGGGGTGAAAAGGAACTTGGTGGCCTTTTACACTGACGTTCTGCTTTGTTAAGTTTATAGGCTGTTTTTATTTCCCTTTTTTTGTGGGAAAAGAATTGATGAGGAAAAAGAAAATAAAGAATTGGCAGTCTTTGATAGCAACGAGTCTTTATTGACTTTTATGAGAAATTTAAAATTCTCTAGTCTTGTTTGTTCTTGTAGGGTATTTATTTAAAATAGTTTAATTGGTGTTTTCCTAGCGAAAAGTTTAAATCCCATATGATTTTTTTTTTTTTTTTGGGGATATATATGGTATAGTATGTGGTATTTTAAGATTGGCAAGTGTAGACACTGACAAAAAATAAGGCTGACAATCTCCAAAAGGAACAGGTCCTAAAGGGTGTGAGTTGCCAAAAATGTAACGCGTGGAATGTACTCTCTGTGTAGGATTTTGGAAGGAACCTAGGAACATGTTGGTTTGAGTTGGTGTTGACTAATTACACTGTGTTTATATTTGTTTATAAAGTATGGTTTGGTTCAAGTTTTGTGTAACAGTTGTGATCTTAATGGATGGGCTGGCAGAGGGCCCCACTTTGGCTTTATAAAATTTGATGTTCATAAATATTATTTATAACTTGTTTTAGTTATTGATTTTTAGACAGGTGCAAAATCTAAGTAAAAATTAATGAATTTCTCTAAACTCATTATTAATTTTGTAGCTTCTCCCCTATGACGTTTGGAGGAGAGATATAGAAAGGACAAAGATAAAGTAAGAGAAGTAAGAGGCAAAGGAGAGAAGTAAGAGGCAAAGGGTGAATAAAGAAAGAAAAAGAAAAGGGAAAGGGAAAGTGAATAGAATGATGTAAAGATGGGGAACAATGAGAGTGGATTTTTCTTTTTATATGCTACTAGCTGTTTCAGTGTTTTTTCTGTTCACTTTCTCCACTTACATTTTTTTCTTCCCTTTTTCCACTTACATTTCTAAAACCCATTTTCCTTCTTCAAAGTTGCAAACAAGTTCTTGATTCTCTGATCTATTTCAACTACTCTCATTTTTTGGAAAAATGACTAGTGAATAAGGGGAAGGCAAAAAGAAAAAAAGAAAGAAGCGGTAAAGGATTTTGTGAAATGTGATTTATATATTAAATGATGGATATAATAGTGTTGTAATTAGATGATAACTCAATAAGAAAAAAAGCTACTTTAGATAAGTTTGGTTTCGATTTATTGTTTTTTTTTTTCGTGGGAGAAAAAATATCAATTTCTCTAATAAACAGAAAAAGACATAAACAAGATCTCGACCCAAGTTTTTCTAGCACTAGCATGCTCGAGCCGAATTTCATGGCTGGATTATGATGTCAAATCATTTCGAGTTGCCTTTTCAAATATGATGATTACCGTCCATGTGAAAAAAATATACAGTGAATTGCCACGAGCTTCCTTAAAAAAATTCCTAAGGGGTCGTTTGGTATCATAGATACAACAACAACAACATACCCAATATTATCTCACACCGTGGGGTCCGGGGAAGATAGTGTGTGCGCAGACCTTACCCCTACTTTGTAAGGATAGCGAGGCTATTTTCAATAGACCCTCGGCTCAGAAAAGCATAAGCCCACATTAAGGGAAATATAGACAAGAAGGAAAATATAGTTATGTCTTGCCTAATCACTTCTCCCCACCTTTTCTTTGGCCTGCCTCTACCTCTCCGTAGGCCCTCCTATGTCAACCTCTCACACGTCCTCACTGGGGCGTTTGTACTCCTCTTCCTCACATGACCAAACCACCTAAGCCGTGTTTCCCGCATCTTGTCCTCAATAGGGGCCACACCCACCTTATCGCGAATAATCTCATTTCTAATTGTATCTAACCTGATATGTCCGCACATCCATCTCAACATCCTCATTTTTGCTACCTTCATCTTCTGGACATGAGCGATCTTGACTAGACAACATTCAGCCCCATACAACATCGTTGGTCTGACCATAACTCGGTAGAACTTACCTTTAAGTTTCGGTGGCACCTTCTCGTCACACAAAACACTAGAAGCGAGTCTCCATTTCATCCATCTCGCCCCAATACGATGTGTGATATCTTCATCAATCTCCCCATCCCCTGAATAATAGGCCCAAGGTACTTAAAACATCCTCTCATATGGATAACCTATGAGTCCAACCTCAGCTCCCCTTCCTCTCCTTGAGTCTCGCCACTGAACGTACACTCCAAGTATTATGTCTTGGTCCTGCTCAACTTGAAATCTTTAGACTCCAAGGCCTGCCTCCATATCTCTAATTGCGCGTTCATACCATCTCGCGTCTCGTAAATCAATACAATATCATCTACAAATAGCATGCACCACGGCACCTCCCCTTGGATGTGGCGCGTCAGTATGCCCATCGCCAGAGCAAACAAAAAAAGGCTAAGTGTCTACCCCTGATGCAACCCCACCATAACCGAAAAAATAGTCTGAGTCCCCACCCACCGTCCTCACTCGGGTCTTTGCTCCATCATACATGTCCTTAATCAATCTAACGTAAGCAACAAGTACACCTCTAGCCTCAAAAATTTTGGGATAAAAATTTAGTGGCCATTTGGATATAAGAATTTTAAAATTTCGGGAAAAAGTAAAAATAAATTTCAAGTGAAAATGATATTTGAAAAGTAGAGTTGTGTTTGGACATGAATATAATTTTGGGTTGTTTTTGAATTTTTGTGAGTGATTTGAATGAAAATTTTAAAAAATAGTTTTTTGGAGTTTTTCAAAATTTTAAAAAAAATTAAAATTAATCTTCAAGGGAAAAAAGAAAGTTTTATGACCGAAAACTGATTTCGAAAAAGGTGAAAATTTTTCAAAAAAAATGCAAAATAATTTATGGCCAAACGGGCTCTTAGTATTATTTTATCTCTTGTTTGGTTACTAATCATGTGATAAGTTATCCCATGGTTAAAAATAGTACTGGATAACTTATACGTTCCATAAGAAGGAATAGTAATCCTAGGATAAAGGCATCCCGGTACAATAAACTCTCACTATGTGCGGGATCTGGGAAAGGGCATGTAACGACCTGATCGTTCGTTCTGAGAGTTATAGCCCCATTTCCCCCATCTATGCTTATTTATGTGATGTTTAGCTGTGTTGAGTTGTATCGATTTGGTAGGTTTGGGTTCGGAGTAGTTTTGGAGAGAAATGAACACTTATTCTTTTAGTTAGAAAGTTAAGTTAGAAAAGTCAACCGGAAGTTGACTTATGAGTAAACGAATTCGTATTTGGATTTTTATGATTCGATTAGCTTCATTGGGTGATTTTATACTTAGGAGTGTGTCCGGAATGTAATTTGGAGGTCCGTGGTAGAATTAGGCTTGAATTGGCGAAAGTTGAAAGTTTAGAAGTTCTTAGGCTTGAATCCGAGGTTGATTTGGTATTTTGGGTGTTGTTTTGATTGTTTCGAAGGTTCGACTAAGTTCGGGTAGTGATATATGACTTGTTGAAATTATTGGTTGAGGTCCCGAGGGCCTCGGGTGAGTTTCGGATAGGTTTGAGTTGTGTTGCGCTCGTTTTTCTTATGTTTCGACGCCGTTTCTTCAAGCATAAATGATATCATATTGAACAAATAAGCTCCAATTTATTTTTTGATTGAAGCATTAGATCCGTATCGTAATTACGGACCCGTAGCAAAAAGAATCGTCGAATTTGGACATCGTATAAGGATTTTATGGTCATTTTACTAAGAATTAGGTTACTAGATTTTTCAGATTAATTACGAAATTGCTACTGATGGTGTATTTAAAAATCTGCACGATTTGCAAATATTAAAACCTACATATCTCCTTTAATTGAGTGATTCAGAAGCCTAACTTGACTAAAATTATACAACGAATCCATTAGAGGCATAAAAGGCGAGTTTCAGGATCGTTTGGCACAAAAAACGAGGCAGAATAGGTGGTAGAAAAATATATAAAATGAGGGTTTGTTCATTCGGTCATATTTTGAGTTGGGGAGTTCGGATTTGGGCGATTTTGGGAGCGATTTTCACCATAAGTATTGGGGTAAGAGTTCTTTACTCAGGTTTGGTTATATTTCATGAATCCATCTTCGTTTTTGAGATTTGATTGATGATTTCAAAGTGAAATTGAGGGAGTTAGGGTTTGAGTTTTGGAGAGTTTAAGTGAGGATTTGAGAGACCAAACAGAGTCCGATTTTGATAAATTTTATATGGTTAGACTCGGGAGAGGACGAGGTTTATTATTCTGCCATTTTTGACTAATTTCGAGACGTGGGCACGGGGGGCGAGTTTTGGCCAGTTTCGGATTTTAGGCATATTTTATAGTTTTTATTGTGGAATTCGATTCGTTAGCCTATGTTGATGGTATTAATTTGATTATGGTTAGATTTGGAGCTTTTGGAGACCGAGTCCAGAGACGAGGGCATCCCGGAGTAGGATTTTACGTTGTTAAGGTAAGTAACAGTTTTAACCCTGGCTTTGAGGGTATAAACCCGGAGAATTTGATATCGTGTGACTGTTTGGAGGTGAAACCCACGCTAGGTGACAAGCGTGTGGGTGTATACCTCGAGGGATTGAGACTTGGTCCGTCCCGTGAGGCCTCATGGCTATCATTGGTGTTTACGTAGTTATTTGTTGTTGAACTTGTCTGCCTTCATGTTAGAGATCATGCGTAGGCTTTATTCATGCTCATATTATTTGTACTCAGTCATAGAAATTATTGTACATATTTACTTCAGTCTCTATTATTTGCTAATATATTTTGATACTTGATGTGGGTTGTGTTCCCTTATTTGTCGATGATGGTGAGGCTAGTGAGGTACATG